CGCGAAAAAGCCGCGGGCCAGCCGCGTCAGGGACACGGCGGCTCGTCTTCCCCCCAACTGCCTCGGTTCCCGCGGGGAATCAATGGCAAGGCTGCCGCCGGTGAGCCTTGCCATTGATTCCTCACGGGCGGCGCGTCTCGGGACGGCGCGCCGACGCCTCCCCTCCCTCGCACGCGTACACACGGGCGCGGAGCGGCTATAAAAGCCGGCGGTTCTCGCCGGCGCCCACACCAGACTCGCCCCTCGCCGCCGCCCAACCCCTCTCTCTCCGTCTCCGTCTTCCTCTCCCGAGCGCCACCGGCAGCCCCTCTCTCTCCCTCTCTACCACCGCCGAGCCCGTCGCCATGGCAGAGCGCTTCCCCGGACACGAGGCGGCGGCGAACGGCTTCGGCCGGCGTTCGCTCCGCGAACAGGAGTCCTGACTCCTGTTCCAGGCGAACATCCCGGCGCCGCCGGACATGCGCGCTGGGCCGACGGGGTGGCGGCTCAGTGACGGGGGAGTGCCCGTTCCCCCGTTACCCGACGCCGTGGCGAAGCCCACGTACTTCACCGAGGAGGTCGAGGTCGCGCGCGCCTCCCTGACCGACGACGAGCGCTCCCTACCCCAGTATGCCGCCGACAATCACGCGGCTTGGGCGGCGTAGTTCCAGCGCCGCTAGCAGCAGCGACTGGCCTCCACCAACGACGCGCCGGTGGTCGGCGGCGTCAAGAACAGCGTGGGGCGCCACCTGTGGTGGGGCGTCCCGGGCCGCACGCTGGAAGGCGTGCTGACGCACCTCGACGGCGGCAACAACCCGCCGTTGACCTATCCTGCGACGGGGGCCGCCCGTTGCAACACCGACGCGCATGGGCGCCAAGGAGGTTCGCCTCCTCCTCGTCTTCCTCCTCTCGCTCATCTTCCCACTCATCCGGTTCTCCGGCGCTTCTCGGCGTCAAGGCCGAGCCCGTGGCGGAGACGCCAATCGGTCGGCGCACTCGCGGCGTCGGCATCGTCATCAACAAGGGCGGCCGGCGCGCCCCCTCCTCGTCGGCTCCTCCGCGCTTCGTCAAGCCGAAGATGGAGCCGGGGTTGGCGCCGGTGAAGACGGAGCCGGGGCTGGCGCCGGTGGAGGCGGAGTTCGACGACGACGACGCGGTCCTAGAATGGGCGCGCCAGGACTCCATTGCGATGGAGAAGGCGCGCCGGGAGAAGGAGAAGGAACGCTGGCGCGCCGCCCTGCGCCGCTTCGAGCAGCGCCGACGCGGCCGCGTTGAAGACGGGGTCGTCGTCTTATGCGACAGCGATGACTACGCGCCGCCGCCAGTCCGCCATGGTGACGCCGGGCAGGGGTCCAGCAGGGGCGCCCGCGTCAAGGAGGAGAAGGCCGCCGACGATGATGGCGGCGACGACTTCAGCCCTTTTCTTTTTTAGATTAGGTTAATGTAATGAAAATGCGCGAATTTCACCGAAATTTGCCATGTTTGGCCGAAATTTAACTAGTTTTTATCATAACTTCGTCGAACGGTCCTTTTTTTTAAATACGCGCCTGGGGGCGGCCCTGGGGGCCGACGGCTGGGGACCGACTCGCCTCAGGGCCATTTTTTGCGCCGGCTCACCCCCAGACGGCGCTTTTAGACGCCCCCTGGGGGGCCAACGGCTGGAGATGCCCTTACTGCTCGCATTTATAAGTAGACCGGAAGAAATGGCACGAGCTTGAGCTTCATACAAGTAGAAAGATTCATCCCATTATATTATTTATCTTGCATGCAATCTATCCACGTCATCAAATAGGTTCACATGTAAAGATGTTTTTCTACTAACTTAGCATGCACATGAGCCCTCTAACTCTTCATGCGCATGCAACCTGCCATGAATAATCATTCATTATTATTTTTCATGTGATCTCAATCAGCCATGTCATCCTAGTTTTTTTGCTATCTACTAGTAATAATGCACGTGCAATGCACGTTTATATTAGGTAAGATATTAGTTGCACGTTATATTAGATAAGATATATCTGTTGCACGTTGGTATTCGGTAAGATATCAATTATTTTTTCACGGGAATGGTAGGATATTAATTACATGGCAGATTTCAAGGGATAGCGTTGAGTCAAAATGTGTTTATAACCAATGGCAGTGGTGGGTAAATTAAAGCGTTCAACGTGTTTGGTGCTCAATATTGAAACGATTTAAACCGCTAGATAACATGATTTGATGGTCGAAATGGTTTAGATCTGCCCATTTGAGTCTTTTTATATTGGTATAGATATATGTCTTGGCGTCATCTGATCCAGACCAGACAACTAGCATGAGTCCCCGTCCAACCATTTTGGTTGATTTTAGTGTTGCTGATGCGATCGCCTAATTCCGGAAGCCCAAACGACCGTCTTTTATCATTCTCCTTCTCTCGAGCTTTATGTCCATATCTCTTTGCTGTCCACATGCCTCAGAATTTCGCCAGATGCCTTTGTTCCCTTGAACCTCCGGTGTTCCAAGCAACCTTTACATTCCAATTTGATTAAATTGTGTACAAAGAGGTAGATCACCAAGTTTATTTCTGTTTTAAGAATCCACTGTTTCCATGTAACCTTTTAATCTCAACTTAGTTCAATTGAATACACACAAGTAGCTAATAAGGCTTTTTTTAATGACAGAACTAAGAAAAAAATGACAGAACTAAGAGTCAACTAATGGGCAAGAATTAGAGCTACGTGGGTATATTGTGATGAATGGCTACAGTACACTGCACATGGTTGATCTAGTGAGAAGTATGCTTTACTCAACAATGGGCCTCATGATTAATAAACAACCTTATTTTTTATATTAAAAATCAAATTAAGAGTGAACTCGTGTTTTATTTTTCTATGCGAGCTATGCTTCTTTATGAATGCACATATGTAGTTGGTATCGTTGTTTTAGGTTTAGCCAAGGGTTCAGCTGTCTCTACTGTTACTACTCAATTTTTTTTCGTCTCATATCGCCTTGCTGATATATTCTCAAGATAATAAATTAATAAAAAAAGGACTCATTTTTTATTTTTTTCATCAAATTTTCTCTAGATGCTTATTCTAACAATAGTTTTCCATACAAAATTCTTTGCCATCAACTTAGACTATGCTTCATAAACCTTTTCATGTTTTTAAACATCAAATTATTTGTTAACAATTTCCACAGCAACGCGCGAGGTATTATCTAGTTTACTTAGTTTCTATCTATTTCTCTTTATTCAGCCACCCATATCACATTCTTATGAGTAATTAAGCACGGTTTACCAATACAAGTGTTCAAAAATATATTAGTGATCATTTCATTTTTCAAGAATTGCAATGGACCAAACTATTGTCCAAGTTCTACATTCAAAACATGTAGCTGTAAAGCTAATCAATCATTATTATTGCTTATTAGTCCTAATCAATTAGTATTTTTAACATTCTCTTTTTGTGGAAAGAGCGAAAGCATTATCAGTCAACTATAAAAAGTATGTTATAAGACCAGTGAAATCTGGGAAAAGAACTATGGTAAGAGTATGGCGTTTCCGTGCCCAGACTCATTTGCACCCGGTCAGAAAATAAATCAAAACAAATACTGAAAAAATCCAAAAAAATCATTTTTTGTGTGTGCAAGATAAATTGATACTTGAGGTACGCTTCAATTTTCAACTCATTTGGACATCTGAATAGTTCTCGGCAAAAAGACAAATCGGCTTAGAACAATGCGTGAACAATAAACTTTTTCACAGACCCTGAATTTGTCTTTTTTGCCGAGAGCTGCTCAGATGTCCAAATGAGTTGAAAATTGGAGCGGACCTCACGCATCAATTTATCTACCACACAAAAAGAATTGGATTTGTTTAAATTTTCTAGTATTTGTTTTGATTTGTTTCGTCAGCGCGGATGCAACTGAGTCTGGGCTCTGAAGTGGATTGTCGGTATGGTAACACTTTCTCTTCTATTTAACCTCCATTTGTTCTATCATACACTCTAACTCGAAATAAATTGGGCGAAAGTACTCCCTCGGATCCATATTAATTAACGTTGATTTAGTACAAAACTGTACTAAACGAACATCAATTAGTTTGGACTGCAGAGAGTAATTTATTTTCCCTACATTTATTTCTATGAGCGAGAATTTCATGCACTTTAAAAATAACTATTTTAAAACATATGCCTCTTCTCCTACATTTCTATTATTCCTTGAGTTCCTTTTTATAAAGTTAAACCTTTTTTTATCTTTGACCAGTTTATAGAAAAAATAGCAATATCTACAACACTAATTAAATGAAATATGAGAATATCTTTCACGACGGATCAAGCGAAATTGATTTTGTATGAGCATTATTTTGGTGCTCCGGTGTTACTACTTCATTGTTCGCATTTATAATACACTTTGAGTAGACGGGAAGAAATGTCACGAACTTTATCTTTAGACAGTCATATACACCTTGAGTAGTTGAAGACTTGGAAACATTCTCGCACTAGTAGGATGTCCTTTTGGCCTCCTCTTATGATCAAAGTTTCAAATAGCGGGCTATGTCATTTAGCAACGGCTCGGCTAGAAGCTAAGAAAAGCCGTAGCGAAGCATTTTGCTTTTTTTAATCATGAAAATTTGAAATAAGGCATGAGTTGTTCCAAAAGCAAAGCTTAAAATTGGTTTACTCTCATAGCTCTCTAGTTTTCTAGTCACTCTGTCGTTTATTGGATGTTTTTTAGGATCATGTTTTGTTTATTAGAAACGGGCTTTATTTAGCTTAGCTGAGAAACAGATAAATATTACGTTTCCGAGGCCACGGCCCACAAGCCCACCTAGTGCCGAAAGCTGAGCACGGGGACGGCGTCAGGCACACACTCCTTGAAATACTCCGCCTTGGCGCCCAAACATAACCGTCGCAACCAACAGCCTTCGCTCCCCCTCTCCCCCCCCCCGTCGCCGGAGCGCCAAGAAACCAAGAACCCGCTCCCCGTCTCCGCCGCGCAGATCCCACCTCCTCTCCTCCGCGCCGGTCCAGCTCAAGCGACCCATGGAGCTGTTCCAGCACGGCCAGCACGTGCGGCTGCGGAGCCGCGCGCTGGGCACGTACCTGCACGCCGACGATGACGGGCAGGGCGCCTCCCTCCACCACCGCCGGGCGTCGATGAACGCGGCGTGGGCGGTGCACGTGCACCATCCCCCCCGCGCGCAGGTGCCGTACCTGCTCCTCCACAGCGCCGCCTACGGCCTGTACCTCGCCGCCACGGACGGGCCGGCGCCGGTGGGCCTCCGCGGGTTCCGCGTCGAGCTGCGCAGCTACGACCATCGCGAGGCGGACGCGGTATGCTGGACGGCCAGCCGGACGGGGTCCGGGGACGACGTCCGGCTCCAGCACTTCAACCTCGGCTGCCTCCGCGCCAACGGCAAGTACCTCCCCTGGAACAACGGCGCCAGCATCGGCCACATCGACGGCGCCAGCACGATGATGCACTGGGTCGTGGAGCCCATCCCCGCCCGGGAGACCATGCCTCCCCTCCCACGTTCGACCGGGGTGAGTCCGCCATGCCCGCTTCTTGATTCTTCCCCATCGAATTCGCGCGAGCTGGGTTCTTGGATTGGACGTCGTTAACATGCATCGGAATATGACCGCGGAGATCGCAAATCGTGTTAATTTCGTTCGCCTGGGAGCAATTCTTGGCTCGGTTCTTGCCAAATTTGCGCTTTCAAATTCTTGGCATCTCAAATTCGTATCTGATGATTTTGATCTGCTGACGATGTTGGGGCTCAACTGCAGCTTACCCTCCCCCGGGCCGTGCTGCCGTCGCGGCAGATCGTGTACGTGTGGACGGACAACCACGGGGACCTCATCACCAGCGGCTGGCACACGTTCAGGGGGAGATCCGTGTTCCACCTGAGGAAGGAGCTGGCCAGGCTGCTCAACGCCGTCCAAGTCTTGGGCGTCGGCGACCTCGTCTTGTGCCTCCCCACACGTGATGGCCGGCTTTTCCCACTCCTCGTCGACCTGCCCAACAACCGCCAGCCCCTCCACGTCGTCGTCGTCATCGCCGGGACGCCTCGTAAGAGCCCCTCTACTTCCTAACTCTTCTCCTTTGTCAAGAAACTCTTATTTGCACTAGTCTTGAACTTGTCCGGATGTTTTGGGTTTCATTTCAGTTGAGTGCTGATCTGCCCGTGCTTGGGAAACAGTGTTCGAATCGAAACTAGTAGTCTGAAAAGCAGTCTGTTTGCTGAAACTTTTGCTGCTACTCTGTTTCAGTTAGGAATCTGAACTGCTGTAGGATTATAGGCATCAGTAAAAGTTGCTGGATCAAATCAGTTGTCTGAAGCTAGTTGTTTGTTGGGGTGAAAATCATTTCATAATTCTAAAATACACACTGTTTGTCTGAAGCTAGTTGGAAACTGTTGGTTTTGATGCCACTGTGTTTCCATTCAGATGATTCAGTTCTTCAATTTAATTAATACCAATATACCATATGTATGCCACTAGTGGAAAACTTCTGAACTTCAAAACCCAAATCAGTTCGGTCTGCCTAGTTCAGACTTACAGAGAAGATGATGATTTCTGTTTTTCAGCCTACTGTAACTGTACCGAGTAACACATTACATTGTTTTGAGGTTCTGTACATCTTCTTTATTATCTTCGTATTTAAACTTGTTGCAGCACTTGTGACACATGATGCCTAACTGCTTAACTATTTTTCTGCTAATTCAGTTCACGCGCGGCTGCGGTACGCGGATGTCGATGCAGAGTAGAGAGATACCCCTACAAGTCGCCTTCCTGTCCACGTCTTCAGAAGTGTCGCCGCCTCGGACACGATGACATTAGAGCCCGGTTCCTTCCGTTGAGATATGGGTTCAGGAAAACCCAGTAGTTTTTGTGTTTCTGCTAGCTAGCTAAACTTGGTTTGTTCTCCTGACAGTAGGAAACCTATTTCGTTGGCATCACGGTTCTAAAATTCTGAAACTGTTTGAACAATGATGCAGTGGCATCAGTCTGTAATGTGTTGACAATGGCCACTACTTTAAAGTTGCTAGCTGCATTTTCTCTTAGATGAAGCATTTGGTGTCGATGCAGATGTGGCGGTTCTTGCAGTGAGTTGAGCACTTGAGTTTCGTTATTCTGCTGAAAGTTTCAGTCACTGTTTGTTTTGCTTTATTTTCAGGCTGTGTCCCCCGGTGTCTGAAATGTAGCTCCATTTCTGCGACGAGTAATTCAGGTTGTGTCCCCCAGTAGATTGGATTTGGTGTGCATGGGTTATCTGGGAGCTACTCCCTCCGTTTCTTTTTACTCCGCATATAAGATTTGGTCAAAGTCAAACTACACAAAGTTTGACCAAATTTATATAAAAAAATGAACATCTACAATATTAAAACTATATAGTATGAAAATACATTTTGTGATGCATCTGATAATATTGATTTCATATTGTCAATGTTTATATTTTTTAATATAAAATTAGTCAAACTTTACAAAGCTTGATTTTGACCAAACCTTATATGCAGACTAAAAAGAAATGGAGGGAGTACTTACTGGTCTGACCTGTACCAATGTGTAATTCCAACTTTCTCTTCTTCTCTTATTTACTCTGCGAGAATAGTTGAATTCGTCTTCTAAGCAACTACTCCCTCCGTTCCGAATTACTCGTCGCAGAAATGGATGTATCTAGTTGTGTCCCCCGGTATCTAGATGTACCAATGTTTTGCTTTATTCTGCTGAAAGTTCCAGTCACTGTTTGTTTTGCTTTATTGCCACTACTTTAAATAAGAGAAGAAGAGAAAGTTGGAATTACACATTGGTACAGGTCAGACCAGTAAGTAGCTCCCAGATAACCCATGCACACCAAATTGTCAACAACATTTTGATATTGTGACATGGCACGTCATATTACCAATACAATGAATATACCCTCACAGTACTGCTGACTCCAGTAATGGACCCTTCAATCTGTAAAATCCGTTTGAACACAACCAAAGCACTTTTCGTTTTTCTGAACAGCAACACAACCAAACCAGTTAGCCATATACAACTTTCGCAGACCTGATTTGCATGAACATATTGCCTATGCGGCGATTCGAATCACCGTGGATGCATTGGCTTCAAATTAACGCGAAGCAACAATACGGATAGCAAGGAGTACGTTTTGCAGCTGGGTGCTGTGTTTGCAGCACACAACAGAAATGAGAAACTCATGTATTTCACCGAGGAAGAAGCATCCGGCGGAGGGAGGTCTTCGCCGCCGCCATCTCCTTATTCGCATCATCATCATCAGTCACTTGGTTCCTGAAGGGCCTGGTTGGTCAGGGTTGGCTGCATCACCAGAGAGGAACTCTGTCGGTTCCTGCATTGACCGTAGAGTTTTCAGTGGGATTAGAAATGCTGACCATGCTTCAGGATACTTCAAACAGATAAAAGTATCGAGGTTCGTGTTTTCTGCTTGCACCTCTTGCCATGTGCCAAGGATGGTCGGCAGTGACCCAGCATCTGCATCCGGCATGTACCACTGCAACAGCAAAGTGAAAATCTTCAGTCTACTCTGTTAAGTTTGTGACTCTTTGTAGCATAGTAATATCAGCTTATCATGGGAATAAGAAAACTGTGCAGTCTCGTAAGGGACATGAGTATAAGGGCGTGTTTGGTTGGGATGTGCACTGTCTGTTGCAAAAAAAAAAGGCTGTGGGCTCTCTGTTGTGGGAATATTGTAGGTCGTTTGGCAAACTGATTAGATATTAGATAATCGCCCACCCCTTCCACGTGCGATTTATAAGTTATGCATGGCCGTGCCTTAGGGCATATTGGTTGAATAGATTCTTCTTTTCTCTCAAAAAAACCCTTTTGAAATACAAGCTTCTTCCAAAGCATACAGCTATTATAATATATAGGCCAATAGCCAAAGCCAAAAGAACATAAACAGGTTACAGAAACACGTTTCTTTCGGTTTTGTCTTATAAGACAAAAGCCACCTCCAATAAGCCTAACCAAACACCCCCTAAAGCCCTACTATGTGCTGCCTCCATTCTCTAGTATGTTGTCAAATTAGCTTCAGAGAATTGACCTCGGGTACATGATATTCTATGATTCCAAGGTGACTTTTCACCATCATTTCGTGAGATATCCATGTCCTTCAGTATCCATATGAGTGCTTCCATGTTTGTTTACGGGACTAGAATAATCATAATGAATACTACACCAAGAGGAACGAGTAACATGATAAATGTTATGAGTGAGGGTAAATTTTGATCGAAATGAGTGAGGGTAAATAGGTGCTTTAAATTAGAATGCCATCTTCTATTAGAACGACAAGGTTAATCTGATGTCTACATGAGCCAAAGCATTTAAGTAGGTCAATCAAGCCATACTCACCTCACTGGACTTTCGAAGTTTGCACTTGAAGAGTTCACCATTTCGCCACTCTGCATGCATTATCGGCTCACACTGACATAAAAATGCTAGAGCATTAGAACAAGATGAGGGATGGAAGTGACCATCTTGTCATGTCACTGAATGAAATAAGATTATGCCAAAATCTTGAAATCACTGTTTGACTGTGCCACACAATATTCAAATACATTTTTTACAGAAAAATGGTTTAATTACATGAATGTTACCCAAAAGAAGAGGATGATTTGGAATTCTAGTTACTAGTGTTACAGAATCATTGTCTCGATAGAATCTTGCACATAGAAAGAAGCACGTCACACTTCTGCATGGGGTGTCAACGTAATAGCACAGGTGAAAAGTATAATTCAGAAATGGACCTTGCACAGTTACCTTGACATCGGCTAAGAATTAGGAAGAAAGTAATTGCATAACTTTTGTATCAAAAAACATTTAAAAAAAATGGCATGTTCGTATATTTAAGGTGCAAGACAGAACTTACACCAATTATTTCCACAAAAGTAATGTGTCTTATCATGTCCAAAATCACCACAGAAGGCACCTGCTTGAGTGTCCCCTGGCAATCCTCGATTCTCAAGGCAATCTGGTGACGATCATAAACAAACTGGGATAGGTTGAGCGGTGGTTTGCTCTTTATGATGTGAAGTTCACGCAGTGAGGAGAGTTTACACAACCATCCAGGCATGTCACTCCCATGCAACTCCAGTTTCTGAAGGGAGGTAAGGAGGAGGATGCTTTCTTGCCAACTGCTCATATTTGTACAGCCATAAACTGATAGTAATCTCAGGACTTTGAAGTATTGGAGTCCTGTGCATCTACCATGTAAATAGAAGCAGAATAGTTCTGATGTGGGCATGTCCCAGGGAGCAGGATCATCATGGTGCTCCGGCACTATTACGTCACTAGTCACACTGATAATGCACTTTGAGCAGACAGGAAGAAATGGCACAAACTTAAGCTTTGGACAGTCAAAAACCTTGAGTAGTTGAAGATCAGGTAAGATCCTCACATGAGCAGCATGTGCTGCAGGAGCATGCGCGGTAGTCCACCTTTCAAGATTAGGCATGCTCCCTATCTTGAGGGTTTGTAGCATCGGCAAACAATTGCTGCCCCCGGAAATATCCTGATGCACTGTCTTGAGATCAGGCATCTGTCGTAGTGTCAATGAACGTAGCTTTTCTAGACAGCCAAGGGGGGGAAGTCGGTCGCAGCCAATGAAATTGTCAAGCTCAAGATTTACAAGATTCTCGAGACAGGATGCCATATTCATCAACCAATTGACCTGTAAAACGAAGATGCCAAACTATCAGAAATTATGATTCTTCTCCTACATTTTTTTGAGGTTTATTGTCCATTTGTGTTCTTTTTGTCATTCTGAATTCTACTTGAAGCCTGGTTGGCTGGTTCCACCAGAAACTGCATATTGTTGGCACACAAAATTATCTTTTTCAATTCATGGGTCTATGATTTGACAGATTATGATGTTAAATGACAGCACGCAATGCCCTACATGAAATATATGTAATTTCTATACAGATCTGTGTCATTTTGTGAAGAGTGAAGCGTGTCAAAGTAAGAAAAACGTATCTTGTTGGTTATGCTTCTTACCTCTTGGTCATTTACTAATTTAGTCGGGTGGCTACAACAAAGCGACAGGTCCACCAATGCAGTAAGATGTAGTACTTGCTCTAGAGTGTTATAATTTACTAGGCAGTTGTGGATTTTCAGACACTCCAGTGAAGTGACGCCTCCCAAGCATTCAGGAACACTGCTCATTGCTATATCTAAACTCTTCAGTGAAGTTAGCATGGCAATGCTACCTCTCCAGTTATCCAGACCTTTGCAGTGGCGCACACCGAGGAACTTGAGGGAGGTAAGAGACTGCAACCCCATCAAACCATCAGAAGATAGTGTGCAGGAATCGATCAGCACCCTTATTGTTGGCATGTAATACAAATGGCCATTTGATCGAACTCCTGACGATAGAACTTGATTGCTTCTATAAATTTCCAATGACACAGATCGAGGAAGGAACGGCTGAAATCTCAACTTTGGACATTTGTGTATCTTCACATGATGAAGAACTGGGAACATGAATTCCACATCATTGCCACTTACAGTAGCATCTGTGTGCCATTTCTCCAGGTTTGGCATATTCTCTATCACAATGTTTCTTAACTTCTGAAATGGTCTAGCACCCCCTGAGAATTCTTGATTGACTTCCTTGATGTGAGGCATGTCAGATATCACCAACATATGTAGCTTAGGCAGTTGTCCAAGGGGTGGAAGGCAGCCACATGTTTCCAGATGGCGTAGTTCAAGGTGAGCAAGGTTTGGGAGGAAAGATGCAATGTCT